ATATTGGGGGATGCCCTGGCAACGAAGCGTGCCAAGATCGCTTACAAGGCCGCCTTTACCCCCGGAGCGCCTAGAAATCAAATCTCCGACTTGCTGCTTGGAGTTAACCAGATGGAATCTCGGGTTTATGTTGTACATGTAAATCCTGATTCCGGTTTGTCAATTTTTTCTGTTGCTAAAAGTCTTCATATGATGACCAAAGGCTATGTTTGGATTACTACAAATTGGCTTCCTTCGGTTTTAGATTCATTAGAACCAGTTGACCCTGACGTAATGAATCTTTTGCAAGGGGTTGTTTCTCTTCGCCATCACAGTCCAGATACTGATCTCAAAAAACGTTTTCTGTCTAAGTGGAGCAACCTAAACCACAAGAAGAGCATTGGTGCTTCTGGGTTCAATTCTTATGCACTTTATGCTTATGATACAGTATGGTTAGCTGCCCGAACTCTTGATGTTTTTCTCAATGAAGGTGGAAATGTGTCATACTCTAGTGATCCAAAATTGCACGACACAAATGGAAGCACACTGAACTTGGCATCACTGCGTGTTTTTGATGGAGGCCAACAGTTTCTCCAGACACTTCTTAGAATGAACTTCACTGGTTTAAGTGGTCAAATTCAATTTGATTTGGATAAGAACTTAATTAATCCAGCCTATGATATTCTTAACATTGGCGGGACAGGTTCCAGAAGGATTGGCTATTGGTCAAATTACTCTGGTCTTTCAACTGTTGCTCCTGAGATCTTACACACAAAGCCTCGGAATACTTCTTCCAATGATCAATATCTTTACAGTGTAATTTGGCCTGGTGAAACTTCGCTTATTCCTCGAGGATGGGTATTCCCTGAAAACGGGAAGCCACTGCGAATTGCAGTGCCCAACCGCGTCAGTTATCAACAATTTGTAGCTAAAGACAAAAATCCCCCAGGGGTCAAGGGATACTGCATTGATGTCTTTGAAGCTGCCATAAACTTGCTGCCATATCCTGTCCCACACACATATATGTTACATGGAGACGGCAAGAGAAATCCAGTCTACAATGAGATTGTCCAAGCGGTTGCCCAAGATGTGAGTATCTGGCTATAATTTGTAACTTGGTGTTTTCATTATTTTGTAACTATACCTTCTTTGATGATTACATTCTAGTAGTTTTTCTGTTTGTTCTCTTCCTCTTCAGCATTATGATGCAGCTGTTGGAGATGTCACTATAGTCACAAATAGGACAAAGATTGTGGATTTTACACAGCCTTTTATGGAATCAGGGCTGGTTGTAGTTGCTCCAGTCAAGGCAGAAAAGTCTAGCCCTTGGGCTTTCCTCAAGCCATTTACTATCCAAATGTGGCTCGTCACAGGTGCCTTCTTCCTTTTTGTGGGGGCTGTAGTCTGGATTCTTGAGCACCGAATCAATCACGAATTCAGGGGTCCACCTAGGCAACAAATTATGACAATATTCTGGTTAGTATGCTTTGAAGTCATCGGTAGACCCCTGATTTATTAAAGTGGCATCTCTTTCTGGTTGATAATTTCAGCTCAATTAGGCAATATGTCTGGCTGTTGCATAGGTGCCTTGAAATGTCCTGGTGATACAGGGGAACTAATACAGAAGTAAAAGTACATGCAACGAAAATCAATTTTTTAGTAGGCATATAGCAATGATGTAGATGAGAGATCAGGAGTCGGTACATATTAGGTCAAAGAATGTAGTCTAACAGATCATGATAGAAAGCAATATATTTAGGCAGTAGTAGGCATGATGTAGTCAGCTCTTGCAAAGCCTTTGTTTTAAGCATTCTCTTGCCGAGGAGGTAAAATGCTGCTGTGTGCTTTGCTTCACAACTATTAGAATGCTTCTAACTGACATTTGTACTGATCTTGCAGGTTTAGTTTCTCGACAATGTTTTTTTCACACCGTACGTGAGCTATTTCCTATCCATTTATTCTTTCCTTACTTGTTCCTTCACTTAGCTTTCTTGGGAAACGCCTAACAATCTCAGCTGCTTGGATGTGGTGTAGGAGAGAACACTGTGAGCACGTTGGGACGTTTTGTGCTGATCATTTGGCTATTCGTCGTGTTGATTATCAATTCAAGCTACACAGCAAGTTTGACATCAATCCTCACAGTGCAGCAGTTAACATCTCGGATTGAAGGGATTGACAGCTTGGCCGCAAGTACTGAACCAATTGGAATTCAAGATGGGTCATTTGCAAGGAACTACCTGATTGACGAGCTCAACATAGCAGAATCTAGACTCATCATTTTGAAAAGTCAGGAGGAATACGGTACTGCCCTTCTACGTGGACCAAACAATGGTGGCGTGGCTGCAATTGTTGATGAGCTTCCTTACATTGAGCTCTTCCTGTCTACCTCAAATTGTAAATTTAGGACTGTGGGGCAAGAGTTCACAAAAAGTGGATGGGGATTTGTAAGTACTATCTACGTTATTTGTCAATCTGAGCTTCAAAAAATCATTACTGCAGCAAATCTTTTAGTTTGGATTAGCTTAGCTAGATTTATATAAATGAGTATTGACATGAAAGTAGCATATATAGGATGGTGCAAACTCGGTATACTAACTTTCTAATAATATCTACAAAGGACATACTAAATCATGATATTTTGATACCGGTACCAGTTTAACACTAAATAGCTGCTGTATAACAAAACAGACAAATCACCAAAGGAAATGGCACGATAAATATAATTATGAAAAACATTTTTTGAACTAATTATTCGCAAGTTGACACAGAATCTCCTCGGTGTGAAGGGAGAGACTAGGACAGGTGGTATTTTTCTAAAGAAACGAAATGCTTAAGTCCAGCATAGGTTATGAAATGTCTGTTGGGGAACTCCAGTAATTTTCTTACAACCAGGTTTTCTTGTTGCAGGCATTTCAAAGGGACTCTCCTTTAGCAGTTGACTTGTCAACTGCTATTCTTCAACTATCAGAAAATGGTGATCTCCAAAAAATCCACAACAAATGGCTGACATTCAGAGATTGCTCGGAGCAAATCAGTGAAATTGATGAAAATCATCTCTCCCTGAAGAGTTTCTGGGGTCTCTTTCTTATTTGTGGCATTGCATGCTTCATTTCTCTTGCCATTTTCCTCTGTAAAATCATTTGTCAGTGGCGTAAATTTAATCCAGATGGTGGTGAGGAGTCGGAGGTGGATGAGATTCAGCCAGCAAGACCTCGACGCTCTCTACGCTCAAATAGCTTGACAAAGTTGATTGATTTTGTAGACAGGAAAGAGACAGAGATTAAGGAGATAGTTAAACGCAGGAGTGGTGATATCAAGCGACAAGCCAGCGCGAGCTCAGATGGGCATGACATTTCGCCAGCTTAGGGAAGAAAAAAGAAAAAATTCATGCTGAAGTTTCTTAGCACTCCCTCCTCTTGAAACAATAAAATCAACAAAGAGTCGCAAATACCGACTTTTTCCGCTCTTTTCCTTCGATACAAAATGTTAGGCAACTACAACTAAATTGGAAAAATATCGATTACTGGTTAGAGGTAGATCTTTTGTAACATATAAAGTTGTTACGTATTATATATATGTATATCATATTTTTTTTCCTATTCAAGCAATTGAATTTTTCAGCTAAATTTTACATCACTCGTGTTATTGGTAAAGTAAATTGATTCTTTCCTTCTCTTATCTTTTAATTAGTAAGGGTAACTCTGAGTGCAACTTGGAACCAATTTGATCAAACCTGTTAATCAAAAAGTTAAACTTGCTTTCGGTGCAATAAAGAGAGGATTGGGAAGGGGAGTAGACAATAATTGTAATGAAAAAGGATGGTATGCCAGGCAGAGAGGTGTAGTGGCGATCGCACGTTAGTATTCAAGAGAGCATTGCAAGTCAAGTTTATGCAGTGAGAGCAAGTGTGAGGTTAGAGAGAGAAGCTTTTAGAAAATTGAATGGTTAAAAATCTCTAAATAGAAATGAAAAGGGTATTTATAAGTATAAATTGCGACATTTGACAGTTAAGATTGTGATAAACGTCTAGTATCTGAAAAAATAAATAGGTGTCATGTGTCTGTCTGTAAGAGATATATGATTAACATCATCAAATTTTATAAAAAAACATTAATAATAAGTCTGAACTTATTTAAAAAATAAAAATAAAAATAAGGATTCTAGAGTCTATACCAACCTTACTCCAAACCTATCAAACCAAATCTTCCTGCTAGACATTCTAAATAACTCATGACCAATCAAGCTAGGACCCCGCCATTTTGCCCTTGATAAGCCTTTGTGCAATAAGCCCTATCAATTGAGCCTTAATCAACAAATTTCTTCATTCTCTGTTGTGCCCTGATCAGCAATTAATTGTTTCGCTCTTGACGTTTGACGTCTATGATTATCGATCCCTTAAATATGTTTCTTTAATCCATTAATTCTGCGACTGGTGCTACTGCAATAGTTCTTTCGTACGATAATTCCATTTGCTAGAATCTAGCAGTGATCATGGGCAAGAGTACTTGCACCACACCAGAGCTAAGGCTAGCCTCTCTCTCTCTCTCTCTCTCTCTCTCTCTCTCTCTCTTATATATATATATATATATATATATATATATATAGAAAAAGATATGAGGGACTTACTGACTAGCTAGCTAGACGGTAAGGTTGTGGCCACTAGAAATTGTAGGAGAAAATTAACTGGAGACTAGCAACACATTAAAAATAAAATTTCACCTTTCATTTCATGTGAAAATAACGTAAAAAATGATAGCAGCCAGCAATTTGGACCATAGGATCTTGTCTTGTCCCGTTAAAGTAGTCACATAATTGATTAACAATAAAAAAAAAAAAAGATTTAGCAAAAATAAAAAATAAAAGGGTGGTGTTGTCACTGAAAATTTAATTTGCATGTTCCAAAAATACCCTTGATATTTGATAAATGAGTAATATAATAGAAGCTAACTAGCTAGCAATTCTTTCATGGCCAAAGAGATACACTGGAGGTTGGCCATCCCTTTTGCTCAAAGAAAACCAGTATGAATCGGTTTTGCCAAATTAGGTTTCGATTCAATCTCAGGCGAAAAATTCAACGCCACTTTTCAGTTGTTAGACGATGCATTCTCCATATATGGGATCAGATTCTCATGTGTTCGATAGGGAAGCCTGTTCGGTATCGTCGCATCTTGTCACACTCCCGGGAGATCACTTCTTCCTCGTCTCCAGTCACCAACGACACAGTTCCGAGCGTAACACCACCACCGATATGTCATCACCACCACGATAATGATTCAGACTTGGTTGCCTTGAAGATTAGCCTCTTAGGTGATTGCCAAATTGGAAAGACAAGTTTTCTGGTTAGTATATGTATTTTCATTCTCTGTAAATTTTTCTATAGAATATTTACGTACATGATTTGTTTAGCCATACGATATTGATTGGCTTTAATAATTATTTCTGCTCTTAAATATTTTGAAGGCAAAGTATGTGGGAAATGAGAAAGATGAGGGAGTGAAGCAAAACAACGGTTTGAAAATGATGAATAAAACATTGACAGTTAAAGATGCACGTATTTCTTATAGTTTGTGGGAACTAGATGGTAAGTTAACTTCCTCATTTTGTTAATAAGATCACACTTAATATATATCTTCCTTTTCCTATCAAAATAAATAAATAAATAAATGTTATTCTTGGTGTAGGCGGCTATGAAGGATTGAAGCAGCAAATTCCGGTGGCTTGCAAGGATTCTGTGGCTATTTTGATAATGTTTGATCTAACTAGTCGGATCACACTAAACAGGTTTGTCCATATACCTTTCGTTTTCTTAATTAGTAGTATATATGTTTAATTTATTTATGAATATTCCATCAAACTGAATCCGTGGGATTTATTGCAGTGTAATAAGGTGGTACCAAGAAGCAAGGAAATGGAATCGGGTATATATCTGCGTTATTTCACCTTTTCTTGTTTAATTATCTTCATGATTGGTGCAGGGTTCTCTGGATATAATAATAATTTGTTTGCTTTCTTGATTTTTTTTTTTTCAGACGGCAGTTCCTGTTATAATAGGAACCAAGTTTGATGAGTTTATCCAACTTCCCGTAGATTTGCAATGGACAATTGCAAGCCAGGTAACATTTCAAACTTTCACAAACGGTTTTCTTTTATGAATATTTTACTGATCAGGCTATTCATATTATTAGTGAAGGCATAAACAAATCTAATCATGTTGCTTTAGAGAAAGTTGAAAAGAAAAAAACACAAAAAAAAGGTTTAATCATCCTGGATCACATGTTCATAGATCATAGGAGAATATACATAGCGTGTTGTCTAAATGCTTATTTATTTATTTTTAAATGAATCATGTGAGTTTTCTATTATATATATATATATATATATATATATATATGGATATAAATTAACGTATATATACAATAAGAAAAAAAAACATTAATTTCTAGTTACTTTTGTTAATAAAGGAAAATCAAAGAATCTGATTGATAAATGAAAGAAATATAGAAGGTTGCTTGATAGATAGCAAAGTTTTGAAAAGAAATTGAACGAAAAAACAAATCTAAGCGTAAAGAATAAAATCAACCCTTTTACTTTAAAGAGAAAAGAAAAGAAAAGAAAAGAAAACGGTACTTTCTAGTTAGTTTTGTTAATAAAGGCAAATGAAAGGATATGATTGATAAATGAAAAAAGTATAGAAGGTCGCTTGATAGATAGCAATTAAAGTTTTTGAGAAGAAAATGATAGAACAAATAAACGTACGTAAGGGTTAAAAAAAAAAAAAATCATTTGCTTTTCTTTTTCTTTGAAAAGGTTTTAATATTATATATTTCTATTTATGACAGGCAAGAGCATATGCGAAGGCTCTAAATGCAACTCTCTTCTTTTCAAGTGCGACCTATAATATCAATGTGAATAAGATCTTCAAATTCATCACAGCAAAGCTTTTTGATCTGCCGTGGACCTTAGAGCGCAATCTCACCATTGGAGAACCTATTATTGATTTCTGAAGCTTATAATTAATATTTATATATATATAGCCGGTAGCAAAGCCCCCTTGCATCCCATGAAAGTAATCGAAGTCAACCGGTCACTTGGGTAATCCTTGTTGTTCCCATAGTGATTTCTGGAGTTGTGATCAAATCAAGGAAGAGGATGTCTAGCGACCCATTTCCATTTCCAAGTGTGAATAATGTGTTTAACACTCGATTTGTTGTGGCGTTTCACAATTGTATATTTCTAAAAAAATTATAATTTTACCAAGAAAAGGAATCAAAGCATGCCAAATTGGCCGTAATCTCTCAACATTGCAGGGTACGACAAATTTTAAAGCAATATATATATATAAAAGATTAAGGATATCTATATTGATGCAATACTTGTACTTAAAAATGATTTTAGAAGCATACCATCCATCTCTTGAAGAAGGCATGGTCCCCTTTGGTACTTGCCAAAAAGCTCATGACTCAAAAACTCTTAAAATACTCACATAGAGGGAATGTGCCAATTGCCCTCTTAAATTTTCAAAATATTCATTTTAGTCCTCATTAGTACTAGTTTTTTGCACGTCGTTTGCATGAAAAAATTATCTTGGTAATTGCCATCAAAGAATCAAAATCAATTATGCAAAAAATAGTTCAATAAGCTACATTATTAAAAAAATAAAATTATATTTAATTTAATCGTAAAAAAATAATAATATCTTGAATTTCTTATGAACTTCTTCAATTGAGGTACTTTGTTTTATTACCAATTAAGTGATAATAATATGAGATACTAATCTAGTTTTTCAATTAATTAAGAAAATATAATTAATTCAATGTTTGAATTATGTATTAAGATTGATCTTTATAAATTTAATACAAATTAAAAACATACAATATATTATAAATCAAGTAACTCTACATCATTGTTTGTTAAAAGGAGGACTATAATTCGATATTTCATTGTGTATTTGAATAGATATATCATAGAGAATATAATAAAATTCCAAAACCTAAATCAAAAGGAACTCAAATATTATAATAACAAGAACTAATATCTTTTATTAGTCCTTAATGCTTAAGGAGTAACTATTGTATATGTATAGCAGTTACTTCATGGGCTCATTGAATAAACGAGATATAGATACAAAAAGAAAAGAGAAATAGGAGATAGAAAATAAAAAAAATTAGAGAGAGAAAATTAAAAAAAAATTAAGTCAACGTAAAAATCTTTTTATCATTTTTTTGTGGGTTCGGATGTAATTTTTTTTTTTATATATATGTCTATTTCTTTTCTTAAAAGTGAATTCATGAAGTAACTATTGTATATGTACAATAATTACTTTTTAAGTATTATAAAATTTCTCTTAATCCTTATAGAATGTTGAGGGTCTAAAAATCAAAATTTTGATATGGTATAGTTGACGACTCCCCAAGCTTTTCTAATAACATTGTTTTTTCTTTCTTTCTTTTTTCATGCATTAAAGTTTTCCACCTAATATTTTCCAAAAAACCAGACTCGAAATGAGCTGATTAATTTAATGAGCATTTTATTTTGAATTTAGGTATTAATTTGTCGACAATCATACTTAAACTTGTCTTTTATTTGTTTACACCTCAAATGTTTGTAGCAAGTGTTTTTCCTTCCATTTTTTAGTTTTTTTTCCAAATATTTTAAAAATTATATATCCTATTTTATTAGCGATATTATTATTATTATTGTTTTTAATCTACTATATATGGAGAATGATCATACGTGTAGATAAGAATTTTAGAGTTAGAGTGATATGGTAAATGGTTAATGATAATAATTAATCATAAATAATAACTATCGAAAACAACTATACTAGGTTAATATATAAATAAACCTCTCTCTGTTTTTTTTTTTAGTATTATTCTCTGATCCAACTTTTGCCAGCAACAACTCATCAATATATATATAGGCTGAAGTGCACAATAGCAAGTGTTTTAATTTTTTGAATTGTCATTAACTAATAGAGCTTATTGAAATCTTTTGTTGCTACTCAATTAAGTTGTTGAATTTCTGTGAAGATAGGCTGGAAATCATGGAAGAAGACATGATTTATCCTCACATGCACTTCCTTCCTTGGTATTCTTAAAAAAAAAACCCTGTTAGTATGATTTATTTCATCTCTTTTTTTTTGTTCATTTGGATATGTTTTATAGTCATTTTTGTGATTGTCTATTTTGTGAAGAACAAATGTTAGATAGATATTCTTTATCATTTGTTTCATCATTGGACACTATTTCAAATCACTTTTTGATAAATAATGTTTTTGAATTTGATATCTACCTAGTTTTAATTGCTAATGGGCAATAGATAGTGAATGTTTTTATATTTATTTTATATAAATAAGGACTCTCCGCTCTTGAACCCATTCAAGCAATGGTCCTATACGGCTAGTATGAATGCAAATGGCACTTCTTGAACAAAATCTAAACACATTTATTACCATCCATTTTTCCAAACAGATAAGTGTCAAATCAACTCAACCCCACCCATCATTCATACTATAAAGAGTTACGTACGAGAGGAAGAGGAGTTGGCAGATTTAAATGCTATAGAGATAAACCAACAGTTGGTGACAAAAGACGCAGATAACAATATAATGAAGAGACAAAAATTAATGGGACAAGGGATAACTGCTTTGAAAGAACTTAATTTCATCCATTGGAATATGATGTGGATCGATATGATAATTACTCTAGATTGCAGCATTTTTGAGAAAATAAACCCAAGTTTAAATTACTATAGCCAACACCATTCAAAAAGAGACTAATCATAATAAATCCATAGAGAACAAGATTTAACAAAGGTAGTCTATTCAAAAGCTCTAAGGGTGTGAGCTTCAAAACACAAACCAATTAACAAGTAGAGGAGGAGAAAAGAGATCTAGAGAGCGGATAAAATAAAGTACTATAAGGCCACACCAGGCACAAAACCCTAAGTATTGAGTTAAAGAAGGGGAAAAGGAGTAGTAGTACAACCTTGGATTTAATAATATAAGGTCAATATTTTCCTTTTTACTTTGGCGAAGTCAATTCCCGAACCTCAAACATCCTTTCTGATCACTCATGATATGAGGCATGCAAAAGAATCAAGTGAGGTGCGCTCTTGACTTCTCCCAATCTTCTTCTATTAGTAAAAAATCTCCAGCTTTGTGTTTTCTCAGACTTCCCCTCTTTTTTCCTCCTCTGGTTAATGAACTAAAAAATAAAATAAAGTTGCATTACTTGATGAATCCAGAGGGAATAGAAGTAGAACACAACAGCCCAAGTCCAGTACGTACATACCTATAAATTAACCTTCAAAGATCATGCAGATTCGCATGATAAAGAAGCCTTAATCCTCTCCACAGTGCATGCAATCAAGTTGTTAACAGTTGCAACCGATCCAAGAGATAATTTTGCGGTAGGAACTGAATCAACCAAAATCTGGAATGCAACAGTCAGAAGAGATCCACCGGCTGACTCTTCCATGCCTCCTCCATGTGCTGCAGTTCCATCAGGAAGAATAGCAAACCCTGAAGGAAGAAGTGCCACGTAATCTGGATCCCCACCGTTAAGCACTACGTTCATTGCAACGATATCAACAGGTGCATAGATTACGAAAGAGGCTGTTTGATCAGTGCAACTCTCTTGTAAAATCAGCATGTTGCTCTGGCTCGAATTCGCGCTCTAAAATTATATATGCGTGTGTTAGATCAATTACATTATAAATAACACAATATCTTTATGATCATAGACGAACTTAACTGCATAATTAAATAGGTACAAAGATCTGATCTGTAAGCAACTTACATTAACTCGAAGTAGAGATACACAATTGCCTGTTTCCCGGCCATTAGCAATGTGTGCCATTTCTTGGACAACTCCACCATTTGATAGAATATCCCACTGTATTATAAATCAAGTCTTAGAATGAGATCCAATCATGTAGCTATTCAAATATTAAAACTACGTACTTTTATTCTTTCAGTTACACTTCAAAGGAAAAAAAATCAAATCAAATCATGGAAGTTGAAGGTCCGATACTTCTGATGATCATACCTCGTTTCGAGTGTTCTCATCACGAAGAAAATCAAAAACCCTCCTTGGTGGAACTGGAATCCAGAAGGAAGTTGCAGCACTAAGCACAATCCCAGGAGGCCTCCCTGGATCATCTACACTCTTCCTTGTCATAACCCTAACATCGTCGGCTCCAGTTCCAGACAGCGTAGTCCAAGTGTGGGCAGTAGAGGCGCTCACTCCAGCACAGAAGCTTATCACCATTCTCTCTGCAAGCTTCATCATGCTCTTTCTCCCTTCTTGATTAATAATCACTGTGAATAAGCAAATTAATGAGGACAAGTCCAGGGCTATGCATGCATATCGATTATAGTACGGTAGTTACCGGTTTTAAGTTAAGATATTGACTGTAATGCCTTCTTCATTAGCTGAATTATTTAAATGTAAGGAGAATTAATGAAAAACTACATAATATTACCACCAACTTCACCAGCAGGAATGTTTGTTGCCATGGCACTGGCAAGGCGCTCGCATTGCCGATCTAGGGTTGCCACCCAACGTGTTGCCCCGAAAGCATGTCCTGAGCTAACTAGTTGCTTGTATAGATTATGAACACCTCTATCATCCACTTCTACATGTTCAACCCATGTAACCTAAGGTATGAAGAAATTCAATTACAAACGTAACAATAACAAAGAATTGCTCTTGTTTTTGTATAGAAATGTTGCAGCTTAATAAGCATAAGGTATAACAACTTCCAATTGATTAATTAGCCATTCACCTTTGAGTATCCATTAGGCATTTCTTGAATTAAACAGCCAGATGGCCTTCTTCGACATCTTGCTGATGGACTAGGGCGTAAATTGTCCAATGAAACATCAACCACCGCCCAAGTCCCATCCGCATGTTGTTTACAGTACCTCACGTAGTAACTTTCACGAGTAGGAACAAGTGGAGTTGGAAGTTGAAATTCAGCTGTCATCTGGAAATTAAGAAATCAAAGAATTAATTCTATATATATATATATATATATATATATATATATATATATATATATGCTTAAAAGCATGATATCAAATACGACGTCCTTAACATATTTAGTTTTCTGATTCGGTTATGTCCTCCATTTATCAAGTTAGCGAATGCAATGCTATTGGAAGATTATCAAATAATATATATATTACCACTTGCAAGGCACCATTATAGTTCCCTGCAACTCCTGTTGACAACACTTCCAAAGTCAAAGCTCTTGAAACAATGCCCGAAAACAATGTAGACCACTGATTCTGAAAGCAGAAACATAATCACAAATTAATAGTGGATCGATCGAAATGTATTTATATGCTTAATTCTGCTTTGCAAAATATTAGAAGGAACCTTACCACGTCCATGAGATACTCAACAAGGTTGATGTGGTTCATGATAACAACAGCAGACTCCCTTGAAGCCTCGCATTTAAAACCAGCAGGTTTTGGCCCAATACCTCGAGGAAATATCCTTACGTATTCATCTTCATTCAATACCGCATTTGTTCCATCAAGGCTGCTCATCCATAAGGGTTCATCCATTTGGGCCATTCTAATTAGCTCCTCCATGGCTGCAACTGCAAGCTCAATTATCATGGGCTTATCAGCCTCAGTAGGGGCACTTATCGACCTAAGTAACTCTCCTGCTCCATAAATCTCCCCTCCAATGCCTGGTTGTCCGCCAAAATTCCCAACACCAAGGTCAAGCGGACGTGGAGGCATCGAAGCCGATATAAGTGGATAGTTCACCACAGGCTTGCCCACATACTTAGCAGCAATCGCTGAAATGCGGTCGATCTGCGAACAAAAGGAAACAAAATAAATTTCGATATGATCAGGCTTTGTTATAAATCCACCAAAAAAGTGAATATAATAACTGCACCTCTTCTCTTAATCTGGCATTTTCAAGCCTCAAATGATGTTCATCAAAGGACATCTCTCCAAGGGCTGTAGGCCCCCCACAATTAGGACACGAGGCATTGCTAAGAGCTTCTCTGTACCGCATGTTGTCAGCCCTAAGCTTTTCATTCTCAGTTCGAAGCTGTGTATTTTCATGGCGCTCATGCTGGGTCTGTAATGACACAGAATTTAGCGAATCTTAGGAGGTTTAATAAATGCATATTCTACCCTCCCTAAAGAAAACTTTCCAAGAGCAGAGACCAAGATATTGTAACCGCCCCTTGATGCAAAAAAAAAAAATAAAATAAAATAAAAAAAGGCAAATGTGCTATTTATTTTATGGTGTAAATTAGTAAATTCCGGGCCAAAGTTATGCACAAACGTTATACCTTCATTTGGGTGCGCTTATTTTGGAACCAAAATTTGACTTGCAATGGCTCTAACCCTAATTCTCGGCTTAACTCCTTCCTTTGCTTGTCATCTGGGTGTGGACATTCTTTGAAGAAACTAAGACCAAAAATGAAGAAGAGTTAATTACAAGTTATGTGTCAACAAAGACAATAAAACATTACCATAGCAATATATAATTTGATTTAGGTGGAGCTTACGCTTCCATTTCTTGGATCTGATGCTGAGTATGGCGATGGTAGCGCTTCTTTTTGGGGCGTGGATCTTGATCATCACCGGATGCTCCATCTTGGTTCTCACTGCCAGATTTAGTGTTGGTACTATCAAACTCCTCATCTCTGATTCGAGCCATGTCGCCTTCAGATGTGTTTTGTGTCATGTCTAGATGGTGAAGCTGACCTTCCATCATGTTTGGCTGGAACATTATCTACAGATCTTTAAGATTCCTGAAGCTTATTGTTTTTCAATCTAACAACAGAATGGAAATTAATTTCCACTCCAAAAGAAAGCTAAAATACTCATGCCAACAGTTAGCTATAGGTGTGAGAAGTACTCAAAATCTGTTTTTTATAATGTGGAAAAGCCAAGGATTCATGGAAAATTTAACCACGTTAGAAAATTGCACTTAAAATGTAGAAAATTATTAGATCTTGGAGAGGACAAGACGCCCATGTTAAAATACTAGATTCTCAGGTCCTCTCTCCCTCTGTGAGTGTGAAGATGAAAGCAAAGCCCTTTACGCGCTTTGCAAATATCGAGAAGGATTTGGCTTTCAAAAAAAAAAAAAAAAAACAAATTAGTATGTCTAAAAGCCAAAAAACAAACATAATACACCTTTTTAACTCCTGAGCAGTAGCAGAAGAAGAAAAGAGATCTGATGTGTAGAAAATGATAAGAGGGTATGGAAAAAAGAAAAATCAAGTACAGATATTTAAGAAAATTGGATCATAGAGCTTAAAAAGCACAAATAGTGGAGAGGTTAAAGACATATATGGAAGGATATTCAAGTGCAGACCTGACCAAGAGTAAGTCCTGAAGATGATCCAAACCCACCAACATTTCCATTAACGCCAATCATCGATGGCATGTTTCTTGCCGGAATCATCACTCCCGCTGGCATATTTCTCAACCCACAAACCCTAATGGAGCAGTATATATAATAAATATATATATCTTTGTATGTCTTATAGCTAGCGTAACTCACTCTCCTATTGACTTTATATTATATATGGCCTTGAATCGGAGAGAGTGGGTTTTTCTCACAGATTTTCTAGCAGAGTATACAAAAACAGGCACGGCCAAATATATATGGTTCTCATTTTTACAGTAGAAATGGCCTGGTTTCTATCTCTCTAAAGCCTATCTGGTTCGTACGTACATATATGTAAGAGACAGAGAATATATAAAGAAGGTCGAGTTGACAATTTTTGACAGGTAAATATCTGACTAAACCCCAAAATTCAGATATAAAATCTACTTAACGCCCAACTAAGATCACAGAGAATCCAACTTTGCCTTCCGAGTTTCCTTTCTTTCTTTAGCTCTACCTGCTCCAAGGAAAAACGAAAAAACAAGGTAAGCAAAATAAAATTAAAAAAAAAAATCAGAATGAGAGAACTACATGAAAGAGAGAGAGAGAGAGATGAGAAGATGGGTGGTTTTGCAAACCCACTGATTCTTTAAAAGTGACAAACTATAGGGAAGACTGTGAGACTCTCTCGAAAAAACCTACTAATACAAGAAATTTACTTGCCAAAAAAAAAAAGTTGACTGAGAATTTTTTTTTTTTTTTTTGGATCTGGTTTTGAGGTTACCTTGTGGAAAATAGAGCAGTATTTGGGTCTGCTTTAGTGGTTTCTCTGTAGATTTTGGTAAGAACTTTTATGGTAAGAAGTAGGTGTGTGGGATATGGAGATAGAGTCGAGGCAAGAAAAACAAGGGACAAGAAAGACTGGAAATTAAAAAGAAAAAATAACAGAGAGCAAGAAGAAGATGGAGAACCAAAGGGACTTAGGAAGAGAAAGAAGGCAATGGAAGTGAAGGAAACAGAGAAAACTGTGGCAGCAAGGAGTTATTGCAGAGCGTAATGAGAGGGTGCAATAGCATTTAATGGTGGAGAGGTGTAATTGCTGGGGAAAGAGAGAGAGCTCTTTTGGTTTGTTTAATTTTCCCCTAGTAGAGTGTATAGAGTAACGAATGACGGCTACCAAACTCTCCATACATAAATTTTTTTCAAGTAAATTTCTCTTTATTAGGGGTAAATGTTTTACTTTCTACAACAACTAAAATATAATTCAATTCAGACTTAGGAAGTATAGCATATCTTTCATTTTCCAACACGCTTTTTCCAACTACCCGGCCCGCTCGGAATCTGAAGATCATCAATATTTGATAGCTGCGTTTCCTTGTAAATTTTACTATCATCAAAGTTCTAATCTTGATTATTAATTGCATGTAAATTACTGTAACTTGAATTAAAAAATAAAGTATCATTATACAATTTTGTTAGGTTTAATCTTTATATATAAGATCAGATTCTATTGTTATGTGTCTTAAGTTAATTTATTCGGTCATCTTTCACAATCACTTGCTTAATTTCAGTGTAAAAATGGATTCATCCTGTAACTAATTTCTTAGATAGAAGAGGAAGGAAATAAACAACAACTTGAAAAAAGTATATACAGCATGACGAAGAAAGGGAATTTTAATGGTTCAGAGTTTGATGTTATTATTGGTTTGATTTATGAGTTGGTATGTAGGTTTCTAGCTTAATTAAATGTGGTTTTGAGCATGCATTATGATATTGATGTTAATTTATTAAACAATTTTACGAAGAGAAAGAGTTTTATGAATGGATGAATGAATTAAATTTATTCTTTATTTTGACAAATTAAGAACTTTGTAGTAAATTTAAATCGTTTATTTATTTTAATCAAATCATAGAAGTTTTTATGGTATTATTATATATAGTCATGAATTTAGGAATTTTATGTTTAATTGGTTATTATGATCATCATCATCATTGTAAATGTTGTCAAAATTGATATCTCCTCTGGGTTTTATCTTTACGGGAAAATTAAATTTACTGCTCACTTTCTATGATTCTTAACAAAATTTCTATTACTAATCAACCACTATTAAGTTTATTTCTTTTTCAAAGAATTATTGGTGAAGTTAGCGTTACTTTATTAATTAAGCATATATTATGATTTCAGAGATTCATTAATTAATTAGATTAAATATTCAAAAGATTAATATTAATTTAAGTTCAATAATTTGTCCGTAAAATTTATGTCATTGATTTATTACAACAAAATCTAAGTCGTTAATCCAAACAAGTTGAGGTTGGCTATATGGAACCTTGTGTGCCATTCAATTCGAACATAAGCCCAATCTACCTCAATATCAATATATTTAATTAAATCCTTCAATATAATTTATCTCCTTTCCCTTTCACTTCAACTTGTCACCTCTATAAACCCACATCTGGTTGCCTATATATATATAACATAAAAATTTCAACATTTAGGATGTAATTGTATGCACACCTTAAGTTGTTTATAGATCATTGTTAACGTTTTTTTTTTTTTTTGGATAAAATTGTACAAAAATCCCATAGTTTTATATATATGTGTGTGTGATTTTATTTATTTTCTTTTGAAAATAAAATGGCCATTATTGTGTCCCTTTTTTATAACTTTTTTTTTTTTTTAATCTTATCCATTATTTTATGCACAATAGTATTAGTTTGACATAATTACACATGTCAACAGTGGACGGACTTACCATATGTGTTTTTAGGCAATCAACAATAAATACGGCACTATTTCTCAAACTTTTTATCTTGATCTCGAATCTTTCTGATTTGCTCATACCATCTAAACCAAGTCTAGACGATTTCCTTCCTCAAAAGAAAAGGCTATGGATTATATTTTATAAACAATAAATAGACATCATTAAAAAGGAAAAAAAAACACCAAGAAGTTGAATATACCTGCATCACTACCATTGTACGTATCTATTGAAGTATATTCACGAGGGAAAAAATGCATTATTTGTAGCATCACTCTTCCTCAAATGACTTGTGGAAATGGTTTTCCATGTAACTCAGCAAGAGCTTTAATTTTCTGACGCACAGACAAGGTATCATGTTCAACTGGCATTAGCAAGTGCCGGCTGGGGTAGTAGGAAAATCTTGGAGTTCAAGCTATAAGAAATTACTATCCATAATTTTATCCAACATCATATCACCTTTAGCTGGCTGTATATATAGAGGATCATCATGTCTTAGTTAATACAGGAGCTAAAAACTTTTGTTAAGGAAAGAATCACACACAAAGAACCAGTTAGAATTTTATGTTAAGTGCTATCTCACACAAGTGCTAGTTTGATAATTGGTAAAGTTATTTGGTATGGGATGGAAATAAAAAATTATTACTTTTAACTGGTTTATATTTACTAAAAAAATTATATTGCAGGAATTCATCTCATTGATCAATTATAACAATAACATCCTCAGCAACAGCCAACGATCAAACTATGTCTTGTTATGTAAATCAGATTTATAAATACTTTTTAGGATTAAGGATGAGAAGGTTACTGCAAATAATATAGTTTTGAATGCATTGAGCCCCCAGCAGATACAAAAAAAAAAATGGAAAACATTATCCCTCTGATTGGTTTTTTTTTTTTTTTCCTCTAGCAAATATATTAACCGTCCAACCATGCATATGGTTTCTTAAATCTCCATTTTTGTCTAGGAGATAGGAAGAATTAGTTGAATCCAACTCTATGTGCCCGTAAAATTATTTTTCATTTTTTTGAGAATTATTTTTTTTTCAATTGCTAAAGTGTGGTTGAATTATTATTTATGCTAGGTGTACTTATTTATCAAGAGGAAAATTATGTGCAAGTTTTACATAAATTTATTTGTATACCATGGACAAATTATTACGACTTGCATTTTATACGTGAAAGATTATGAATATTACATTTTAAAACAACATGATCCAATGATATTCAATGTCTCTTATCAAGAGGTAATGAAAAAAAAAATCACCTCTACTTATACAATTTTTCTAAAGTGACTTCATGTTTGTTTTTTTCAATTTGAGAATTTGTACTTTTTTTTCAACTAAGTGTCTTCATTTGTTTTTAAATTGTCGATGACATGTATGATAAACAAACTTGTCAATATTTATTGTGGGATCCACTGTTCATAAATTGAAAAAATCAAAATCAAAATTTGAAAATTAATGTAACAAGAAAATTAAAATAACAAACAATCGCTATAAAAACAATGGACATATGATTGTGAAAACGTAAAAAGGAAGGAAAAAGAAAAGAGTGTGGTGTGTGGAGATAAAACAAAGAAAATAAAAGGATCCAAATCCAGTAAGCTAGAAATATCAAAGGTTTATATACTTGTAAAATAGGAATTTATTAATATTTTAGTACTTAGTAGTAAAATTTTAAAAGTTTCAAATTAGGAATTCTATTAATATTGGGGTAAAAAAACATACCAATAACGAGAATATATATATATATATATCTTTTTTTCAAATTTAGAAATCACACTAGATATGAGATTGACTTTTAACAATTTTTTACAAGCCAAAATAGATTTTTCTTCCGCCTAAGGAAATTGTTTATCTTTCCAGTTATGTAGGTCTCATAAGGCTTATCTGGTCAAAATTATAAATAATATATGTTTTCTAAAATATCATTAATGAAAGTTCATTTGGTAAAAGTTAGTTAAGATAAAATTCTAAAAAAAAAAAAATTAAATATGGTTAAAAGATGATATAATATAACAATTAATAACTTTTTCAATATACATAAAAAGTCAAAGAGCGAAATTGTCGCGTTGAGACATTGTCTTTTTTTAAGCAAATCTAATATGTCTTGATGTAATTAGTTTTTAACAGCAATCATCCTTCAAACATGAGCATTCAGTTATGCAATTTAAGCATGCATAAACGTTAATAGAAATTAATACGTTATGTGCGAGTTGATTTTTGATAGCACAGTACATCATGCCATTACGTGTCAATTCTCGACAGACCACATGTATTAGCATAAATTTAAACATCAATTATCAAGTAAATTAATTAGATATCA